GCTGGACAATCAGTCTACCACTGAAATACACTGTTCATTATTTTTTTAAAACTTCTCAAAGGATTCTAGGGTGTAACCAGGATGGAGACCCACTGATGCCTCTACTTCCCCACCACAGACTCACGAGTGGATCCACTGCAACCTGGACCTCACACCTACCACCCCTTTGCCCTGGGGAACTCTACTGCCAAAGTCAACAACAATTGCTAAATTCTAAATTTTTTTCATCTAACTGAGGATTAAACCAGGGTCTTCAAACTAAGCTACATCCCCAGCCCTTTTTATTTTTATTTTTACTTTGAGACAGGGTCTTGCTAAGTCGCTGAGGTGCCCAGGCTAGGCTTAAAATATGTGTGACATTAATGATTATTCCCATGCTTGGAACTCTACTTTTCTTGCCTTCTACAACATCACATCCTCCTGGGTCTTCATCCAGTCTTACTTCTGCCATTCTCTTCTTTTTTAGGTAGTTTCATGAGCTCTTCTACTTGGAACTGAAATGTTCCCCAGAACTCGTCTGTCACTCCCTTTAATAAATAAGCAAATATTGACTATAAACTAGATACTATTCTAGAATCTAGACACTAGGAATAGAGTAATAAAATGGCCAAAGTCTCTGCTCTCAAGGAGGTGACATTCTTTTGGGTTCTTTCTTCTTCCTGCTTTTATACCAGGGAGACTAAGTTTCAGGGACCTCTGAAGTTGCCATCTACACACTGTACAGTAAAATTGTACATTCATCAGAGAGGTTCAAAGCTTTCGTCAGATTCCCAGATATGCCTGTGACCCGTAAGTGGTTGCAATGCGCTGCAGTACAGCTCTTTGGGGGATTGGGTCCCCACCCACATCTTTATGATAGTGATGCTGATCATCTCTGAAGACAGCAGAGAGCTGAGCTTCCCAACACGGTGACCACTGGTCACATGTGGCCATATACATTTAAATTAATTATAAACTTGTCAGTTTTTAGTCATACTAGTTACATTTCAAGCATGCAATCCATCCCTGCCATGGCTTCTGGATTGGACAGTACAGATTCGGAGCTTTTCCTTCACTGCAGAAAGCTTTGTTGGACAGCACTGGTGAGGAAGTTTTCAGATGAAACCCAGGACTTAGGTTCCAGCTCTGCCACTTTTTTTCCTCTTAACTGTTAAAATCAAGTAATTTCATAAAACCACTATGAGGATTACATGAGTTGATTAACATGAGCACTCAACAGAAGGCCTGGCAAAAATACTGTATTGAGCACTCAACAAATGTTCATGATACTTGCTTTTATTATCAAGCATTTGCAGTGGTCTAAGCTTTCTAGAGTATCTAACAGGAATCTCACAGAGTATGCCCAATATGGAGGTCACTGCCTCTTCTCCTCTCCCTGCATTCCATGTATGATTCCTACAAACTGGAAATGCCCCCACTCTGCTCTACTTCCCATTGTCTCCCAATCTCCCAGCCTCCACTCATCACTCCTCTGCCACAGTCATATAGTAGATCCTGCTCCCATCACCCCAGGGGTGGATCACTTTAATAGGCTCCTAAGTGCTCTTCCTATTGCCAGACTGGCCCCACTCCACCTACCTTCGACACTGACACAGCCATCTTGCTGACAGCTTGGATCCCTTCACGTCTCTCCCTGGCTTAGGATCCTCGGGGTGCAAGATCCTGGGTTCTATCTCCGGCATCACACACACACACACACACACACACACACACACACACACACAGACGAGGCTTCCTATAATTTCAGATCAAAGTTCAAACTCCTTATCTCGCAATAACAGCCTCATAATCTGGCTGCTGTCTCAGTTCCAAGCTCTCTCATCTCTCACCTCCAGCTTCCAGCACAGGGCTTCCCTCTGCCTGACCCAACTTTTCCTCTACTCCCTCCTCTCTTCCAGTATTTAAGTGAAATAAATCAGATACACAAGCAAATATCACATGGTTTTTTTCTCACAAGAGAAACCCAAAATATAAATAAAGAACAAAATAAAAGTTAGATAGTGGGAAGTAGGGAGATGTGACCCACACTATTTTTCATAACAATTTTAATGCTTCTTGGGATTTAGGAAATAACTCACTTTACTATACTTTCTATCATATTATAATTTTTTTTTTTGGTACCAGGGATCGAACTTAGGACCTTGAGCTTACCAGGCAGGTGTGGTACCACTGAGCTAAACCTGCAGACCTTACTATAAATTATTTGAGAGCAAAGATCCTATCTGTAATTTTTTTCAAATCCCAATGCATAGCATGTAGAAGATGTATGATATATCTGATAGATGAATGTGTGAACACCTAGCCCCATCCCCTCTTGCTGTACTCATATAGGTGTCCAGTGCCACTGAGTCCTCCCTGGTCAGCCCAGACTGTGCTTTCCCACCTTGTTCATCAGCACTTCCTGGACACCTATGTTGAAAGTCCCAGCCGGGGTCTCCTGGATGTGTAGGGCCCACGGTCACAAGCTGCCACCCCTCAGTCTGCACATCTGATGTGTCATTTGTTCACCCATGTTTCCGCCAACTGTGCTCCAGACCTTGCACTACAGCAGAGATACCAATGTGAATGAGATGTATGTGGCTTCCAAAGAAAGAAGCCACCACAGCCAAAGCAACAGCACTCTCCTTCCACACACTCATGCCACAGCCACGGTCCAGATCTCAGTTAGCCAAGGCGAGGCTGCCACAAGTCGTGCCTTGACAGCACCTCCATCAGAGGAAGGTGGACAGGAGAGAACATGGCTCTCCAGAGAGATAGTCTGGATAAAAGTTAGTAGGAAAGGGTTCTGAAACTGAAAGCTAGGACTTTCTTGTGTCTTTCTGATTGTCTGTGAGTGTTGATTCCACCCCCCCCACCCCACCCCCATACTGGGGAATGAAGCCAGGGCCTTCACACTGAGTTATATCCCCAGCCTGTTTTTAAATTTTTATTTTTATACAGGGTCTCACTAAATTGCTAAATTGCCTGGGCCAGGCTTGAATGTGTGATTCTCCTTGCCTCAGATTTCCAGAATCCTGGGATTATAGGTGTGCACCGCCACACCCAATGGGTGTTACATTTTACACCCATACTTGGTTATCATCAATATGGATAATCAAATCTGCTTGGGGAAAAGATCAAATGTTCTTTCCAATGCCCTGTTCTAAATTATTTTTCAGAGAATAGTAAAGAATCCCTCATCCACAGTAAAATTCTCGTCCTCTCATCACGTACAATAAAAGAATTATACTTACCCCATTGGGTCCAGAGAAGGGGCAGGGAGAGTTGGGTTAGCTCCAAACCTCTTCAGATGCCCTTAGCCAAAGGAGCAAACACACCACCTTTTTCTAGTTTCTCACAGCCTAGTAGCTTCTTTGGCCTCAATTTCTACTAGCTTCACAGTGAAATCTTGGTGCTCAGAAGAGAGAGACAGTAAATACAGATTAACCAGGCCACTTGGAGGTAAACTTCTACTCAGAAGGTAATGGGGTCAACCAAGTAGCTTCTCAGAAGGGGAAGTCTGTGAAGCTTGGTCCAGACTGAGAACCGCAGAGTCACGGCCCAGCCTCGCTGAGCCCCCACGCCTCTTCCTCCCCTTCCTCCGCCCAGCTTGTTGTGTCCTCTCCTTGCCCACAGAGAATCCTTTGGTCCCCAATCCAGAGAGTCAAGTTAGAGAAGGAAGCCAGTGCTAGGAAGCTACAGAAAGGTCTCAAACCCAAAGCCAGCAGATGCCATTTTATGCCCAGATTACCCGAAAACTTTATTTTAGACAAGCAGCTTGATGCTTGTGCTTTCCTTCAAACCGCTCAAAATGAGGAGCTCAAGTTCTATCTCCATCAATTTCATTTAACAAGGCAGGACTGGGAGTCTGTGCATCTCATCTCCAGCGCCAAGTGCTCCACCAAGCTCCAGCTCTCTGTATCCAACTTTTTACAAGATATCACCCCAATTCTGCCTCCTCAGGCTCCTCCAACAGCATATCTAAAACTGGCCCCTTTCCCCTGCCCCCAACTTCTCCTGAACAACTCCTGTTTGCCTTCCTTAGGTCAGTCACCTGCATAGCTGTCCATCCACCTGGTTGTCCAAAGAAGGAAATGCAGAAATAGTTTTGGCAGTTTCCTCTGCCCTCCCTACCTCCCATCTGTCACCAAGTTATACTGCTCCTACCCCTAAAACACCTTCTCCATCCATCCTCTTCCCTCTACCCCTAAGGTCTCAACCCTGCTCTAAAGACGAGTAACACACTGACTACAAAAGGATTACCTGTAAACTTTTAAAAAATCTGATTTTCTGGCAGGAGGTGTAGAGGTGTAGCTCAGTGGTAAAGAGCTAACCTAGGGCCAGGGATGTAACTCAGTGGCACAGTGCCTGTCTGGCAAGCATGAGGGCCTGAATTTGATCCCTGGTACTGCGGGGGGGGGGGGGGGGCTAACTAGCAGGCATGAGGCCTTGGGCTCAATCCCAGCACACCCACACACACAAAAAATAGAGAGAGACAGAAGTTAGAAATAGGTTCTTACCTCCCTCTCATCCTGGAATTTGACTCAGAAAGTCTGAGGTAAAGCTTGAAAGATTCTTTTTTTTTACCTGAAGGACTTTTAACAGGGATTTCAGATTTGTAAACAGTTAAAGTTCCATCCTGCTAAAGTGGCCTTTTAACTCTCCGGATAAATGTTTGACAACCAAGCTGGGCATGGTGGTGGTGGACAACTGTAATCCCAGCACTGAGGAGCCTGAGGCGGGAGGATTGCCTTGAGTTTGAGGCCAGCCTGGGCTACATAGTGAGTTCAAGGCCAGCGGGAACTACATAGTAAGACCCTGTCTCAAAAAAAAATAAATAAACAGAAACTTTGACAACCAGAAGCTGGGTGTGGCAATCTATGCCTGTAATTCCAGCACTCTGGGAGGCTGAGGCAGGAAGATCACAAATTCAAACGCAGCCTGCACAACTGAGAGACTTAGTGAGACCCTGTCTCAAAATAGAAAAGGACTGGGGATATAGCTCAGTATGATGGCCCTGAGTTCAGTCCCCAGTACCAGGAAAAAAAAAAAAGTCTGAAAACCAAACTGGGGGGACTAATCGGGATTGTCAATTTCTGTGGTGTCAAAACTCCCACCATGGTCAATGTCTGATGTCACTGAAGTAAGCCTTAGGAAGTTACAAGCTGCCGCAAGCTGGCCCCAGCATACCAATGTGGCCATGCCTGCTCCCAGCTTAAAATCTCCTCAGTCTTCCCAAAATGAGACAGAATGCAGTTCTAGTCTTTGCTTGACACTTTTTAAAGCCTTACAACTTGAAAGCACCTTCCCCAGCAAGATGTTTCCCTGGGCCCCTTGCACTGTTTATATTGAACCACATATGCATTCTAGATACATCACGCATACTCAGTCCTCTCAACTTTCTTCATATTGCCCTCTCTGCTTTGGATATATTTCTTCTTGATCTGTATCTTTAGCCCTGGACAGAAAAGCCCCAAGCCACACAAAGCCCAGCTGTACAAAGCCCTCTGGTACTCTCAGGGACTGTTGTACTCAGGGATTCATTCATTGACTTTTTTCTGGCTTGACCAGAACTCTGCTCTCTTTGTGCTACAGAGCTAATAACAAATTCAAACCCAAGAAGTTACCACCAGCGACAGTGGTGGCTCTACCTGAGCCCCTGAAAGAAGCCACGGGCTCCATCAATAGATGCCTCCATGAGGGAAAGCTTGTTGTGTGCTATGTAACATGTTGCAGTTAAGATCGACACAAGTCTTCAGGTTTAAACGTTCTTTCCAGTCCACAGAGTGCTTCCATGTGCATTTTTCCACTTGATCTTTTCAACCTCATAAGGTATGTTATGTATACTCTGATCCCCATTTTAAAGATGAAGAAAGTAGGCTTCAAGGAGATACATGGTTTGTATACAAGTGAGTTATTGGTAAACTAAGGAATGAAGACTTCAACCCATGTTTTCTTTCTTTCTTTTTGTTTTCTGGTACCAGGAATCAAACTCAGGACTTTGCACTTCCCAGGCAGGCACAGTGCCACTGAGCTACATCTCTGACCCTCAACCCATGTTTTCTACCCCTGAGTTCTTTGTTCTTTCACCTTGATCCACTATAATGCATTCACCTGGAGCTGGGAGGGTGGATGCTGGGAATGACCTCACTCATGACAGGGAGATCTAAACTTTTTCAAGCCAAAGAGAGGGCCAGTGAGACTTCTAGGAGGCCAGTGGACAGAGGCCAGCTTGCAGCCTAGAGCAAGTCCTTGGGGACCCAAGAGACCAGGGCCACCATGTTTAGGCCTGAGGGCAGGACTCACAAGGGCAGCCCACATGCAGAGCAGAAATGTAGGCACCTTGAGGGCCTCTCCATAAATATGGATGCAAGACATAGTCCAACTTGTTCTACTACCAGCTGAAGTTAAACTAGCTTCATTTAGGAGCCAGCCTGGAGTGGATTGGGGCAGCAGGTTCCCCAGAAACAACTTCTGAATTCCTGAACAAACATTTCAGCAAGGCAAAGGAACACTGGCCCATTCTCTTCCAACTGAAGACCAAATTCCATGAAGAGCACATGTTTTCAAGGTATTTTTATGACTATGGCTTTACAACTAGTTATCTGTATTCCTCTGGTTAACAGAAGTCAAGTGTGTGTGTGTGTGTGTGTGTGTGTGTGTGTAGTGTGTGTGTGTTAGTGGGGACTGAACAAAAGGCTTTGACCCTGAGTTTTATCCTGAGGAAAGATACACAAGTCTTGTACTCTGCCAGAGGGCTAAAGAAAAGGCACCCCAAGAAGAGGACACGCTGATGCATCTGGAAAGAAAGACGTATTCTCGAGACCTAAAGGAGAAGGGAAACATAAAGGAGCGGTTCACACAGAAACCTGACCACAGATAAACTGCTCCTGTGACCCTGGTGCTCAAGGACAAACAGACTGCAAACTGTGCTGTTTTCCAGAAAAAATCCTTTGAGCTTTCTGCCTCCCTATCTCTGCCCTTCTCTTCACCTCCCCCACACACCCCATCCAACTTCATTTGCCCTTAGCCCCAGGAAAAACTGGTTTATGGAGGAAACTATTATCTTGTTTTTTCCAATTGGAAAAAATAAAAATAGTCCTAACCAAGAACTCCGGTCATCCACTAACTCACCATTGGCCCTCAGGGATGGGGAAGAAATAACAGCATTGACTGGAGTCCGAGGCAGGATGGCAAGGGGTAACAGCTTGACCTGTTCATGGGACCATTTTCATACAGGGTTAAATGCCTCAACTTCCTGCCAAGCCCTGTGACAACTTCCTGACAAGGCATGGTCACTTTTCCAATAATACTGAACAAAAGAAAAGCAAGGTAAGGAATCCACAAATCTTTCCTTTTGGTTTTTCTGTTTGTTTTTGATACTAGGGATTGAACCCAGGGCCTTTACATTGAGCTACATCCCCAGCCCTTTTTATTTTTTTATTTTGAGACAGGGTCTCAGCAAGTCACTAAGCTACTCAAGGTGGGCTCCAACTTGTAGTCCTCCAGCCTCACCCTCCCACAGTGCTGAGATTACAGTGTGCGTGCACCACCTTGCCCGGCTAGTTCATTTTTTTCTGGGGGTGGTTACAGTGGCAAAGTCATGAATGCCATCAGTGGGATAGGCAGGCTCCATGAGCTCGGTTGAGAGCCCCACTTGGATTCTAGGATTCCACAGCACATCAGCACATCAAGCGAGCAAATATTCACCCCAGATTGACCCAGACTGTTTGTATTTCAAGACACTTCTTTGAGTGTAGAAGTTCCACCTTTTCCGCCTTCCTTTCAGGACCTAGACCCTCACACTGACGATCTTCCAGCTGTGTCCACTTCCTCTCTATTCACTTCTTCCCTGCTGCAGTCAAGCTGGCACAAACTGTTCTCTTATTAAAGGCGACTGCCTAATGTCTTCTTCTTATTCTCCCTGACAGTTCTTCAGCAATGTTTTTCTTTCTTTTTTTTTTTTTTTTCCTTCAGTACTGGGGATTGAACCCAGGGCCTTTGCACTAAGCTACATCTCCAGCCCTTTCTTTTTTTAATTTTTTTTATTTTTGGACAAGTTCTCACTAAATTGCTAAGTTACCCAGGCTGAGCTTAAATTTGGGATCCCCTGCCTCAGTTTCTCTAAGTGCTGGGTTATGGGTATATGCCATCTTGCTGGTTAATTCTACACCATTTGAAATGACTCTTCCTTCTTAACAGGGGGAAAAATATTTCGCCCTAAGCTTAAATTCAATGTGCTTAATGAAATCACATCTCTCATTCAACAATCATTTATGAAGTACACACTTATGTGCCAGGTTGCACTGGAAGGAGCACAAAGATTTCACTAGGGAAAGTGAGTCACACAGTCTGTCCTTGAGGAAGTAAAATACATGTTCTCTCCCAAGGTGAAGAAAGAGGCATTCTAGTCAATGGTGATGTTACATACAATACAATTACTGCCACAGAAAGGGTGGGATGGGGAGGTGCTGGTCATAAAGTTCAGTATCCACACAAGAGAAAGGACCCCTGGAGCCACATGAGAAAACAGATAGGGCTCCACAGAAGAGGAAGCTTTTCAGCTGACACTGGAGAAATGAGTGAAATCTTACTAGCCAAACCAATTTCCAAACAGAGGGACTGGCACATGCTGAGACACAAGCCTGAAGAGCAGCGCATGCTCAGTCAACACCACGAGCTCTGCATAGCTGGAGATGAGGCTGAGATGGGAGCAGTAAGAGACCAACATGGGCAAGTGAAGCAAAGTCCACAACATGTAGAGGCCTTATTTGTCCCAGAAACCAGATGAGATTCCCTTTGTTGGGTAATTAGGAGGAACTGAAGAATTCTGGATAGAGGAGTGTATTATGGTTTATATCTAGAAGTGAGCCTCATGTGCTCATAGGTGGGGCTTTGGAGAGATGACTGGATCAAAGGTGTGTGAAACTCATCACTGGACTGGTCCACTGATGGGTTTATAGCTGGTTATGATGTTGGCAAGTAAAGCCTGGTGGGAAGAGGTGGGTCACTGTGGGTGTGGCCTGGAATGATGTATATATATCTCCTTCCTCCTCCTCTGATCCTTCTTTCTGCTTCCAGCAGAGATGTGGGTAGAAACACTGAGGGTGGAGAGAAACAACATAGACCTAGAAGGTGCCTAACAGCAGGTGATATGAAAAGGGAAGGAAGAAATCTAGGATGTCCCATTTCCTCTGCTTGAAAGCTCCCAGTTCTATCTTCTTTATCTCCTACTGTAGCACAGTGCAAAACAGATGACAGGCAAGCAACACATACCCAAGGATCTGTTAGTTACTACCATCTTCATCAATTAACTGTAAGGCAAGTCTATAGCAAATGTTTAGTGAGCTTTGTACCTTAGAGTAAGAGTAGGAGGGCTGCTAAATTGCGGCAGGAAAAGAACTCTAAATGGGTTCTATAAGGCATATGCACACACTCATCTTGGAGCCAGGCAGGCATAAAGTAACACTCATCTACTACATAAAGATATATGGAAAACAGAGCACAAGTACAGTGGAACAGTGGTAGCAGGGCCAGGCTCAAAAGTCTGGGCCCAGCCTTGGCTCTGCCAGTGACTATGTAGTACACATAGCAAGTCGCTCCACCATTCTGAGCCTCAGTTTGACCATCTGTAAAATGAAAAGTATGCTGGATGCCTCATATAGCCTCAAAAGTGCAATGAAGCTAAGCTAAGAAATCCCCAGGACTTGTTTCAAAGTTAAATGGGAGGCACACAGAGAGGCAGAGAAAGAAATGTTGGCTATCAGTGGCCAGACAGCAGGAAGAGGACAATGGCAGCATGAGAACAAATGAGGTTAGGAGACCCAGAAAGGCAACCAACAGGCACAGAAGCACAGACATGTGGCTTTCTGGCTCACTTCCTGCCTGCTCTCTTTGATTCTGTCTTCCTTTTGCTGTTATTCTCTTTCTAGCTTCTTAATTTATAAGTCTATAATGCAACTAATAAAATCATGGACCAACACTTAATCAGAAGGAACTGGCTTACAAGATGACCTCATCTAATTCTTTCCCTTTCAGAACCTGAAATCACTGGCCAAAGAAGTTAAGAGACATGGAGTGCAAAGTCACTGAGGTGTTTAGCAGCACTGCAAAGAGTAAAAGTCAAGTCAGAAGAGCTCTTCCCACCAAGCCTGCTGGCCCTGGGTACAAGAATGTAAACTTCCAGGGGGTGGAGAAGGTATCTTAAACTTTTTCTTGCCATTGATGCTGTGCAAATCACAAGGCCACTGATTAAAAGTCATAGATGTGTCCCGTGATGCTCCTGTGCATCTCCCATGGACCAGGCTCTTTGCTAATCACAAGGAGCACAGGAACAAACATGACTTTCTTTCGAAAGTCTCAGATTCTTGTGGATTGGCAGTAGAGATGCAGAGACCAGAGACAGATTATCAAAAAAGAGACAAAAGAAGAAGATAATAATTTTATGAGTAAAAAGTACTAAGTAGTAAAACTAGGAAGTGAGAGGTGAGTCAAACAAACGAAAAAGTATTGAAGATTCCCCCTGACAGAAAGGGTCAGAGGCTGGACTTGAATGCATTCAGAGGACTCCAGAGTCCCTGGCTTTGCAAACACCCTGTAATGAGTGACTAGGGCAGCAGTTTGCATAACAAACACAAAAGGAATGATTGACTGAATGCACATGGGCAGCATCAGAAGGGTTCTCATGTGTTTTTAATTTAGAAGGGAGTTCAGAGACAGATATCAGTGAAACCAGCTCTGATTTTAGTTCATCCTAATGAATTTCTAGCTCGTCATAATGGATATATAGTTCAATTAAATTTTTCAATTCATTCTACATGTTTATCTATTTGGAGAAAATAGACTTAAATATTTGTTTTACTTTCCTAAATATTACATATGACTGTGGTACATATTCAAACAATATTCATCCTTGGTTAATGGGAGTATAACAAACCACAAAACCAGTAAAAGTATAAGAGTAATTGCTCATAAAATGTCACTCAGATATAACAAGTTACTTAAGTGAAATAAATCAGATGCACTTTTTAAAATACTGCATTGTTTCTCTGGTGTGAGAAACTGAGTGGAAATAAGGATTAAAATGTATAACAGACGTTGGGAAATGGGAAGAAAATGTTTAAATGGGAAGGAGAATAAGGGAGGGGAAGGGGTAAAGGAAGGAAAGGACAAGAAAAAAAGTGAAAAATAGAAGGAAAAAATAAAAACAAAGCTTTATAGGAATATATAGTATACAAGAAGGGAGAGGGGTCGAGGTGGGTGAATGGGAAAAAAAGAAAAGGCAAGATATATCATGTACAGGTACAAATTCCCTAAGATGAGTGTTATCATTATGTATACGTAAAATGTACCAATAAATGTTTTGCTTCAAAAAAAAAGATTTAACAAGTTAAAGCATTTTTCAAAATATAAGAATTATACGTGCCTAGTCTTACAAATGCAGTCTCACAAAAGACTGAATAAGCATTTCAGGGGACATACAAAACCCATCCCAATGTTCTAAGTGTATAGTTTTTACTAGCTTTTAGAGACTCTTCACATCTTACCTGGGCTCTTTTTTACAACTTCTCACTTTTCTAAAAGCCCTTGCTCTTCATCTTCCTAGCCCCAAGAGTACCTTTTCTCCTAATTATACCCAATATCAGAGGATGCCATGCATCTCAAACTTAAAGCTGTGCCATCTTCTGTTTATTTAGTGTCCTCTACAGAGCCCATTCCTGTACTGCCCAAGCGAAACCGAAGATTCATGAAGCTGTATTACAGAGAATTCAGCACCAGGACAGATATGCACTTAGCCTGAACTCATGGGTTTAGAGTTGTCTGCATAGCAGGGCTGGTTACTGGTCTACCCCACTCCTTGATCCATGGGAAGGGGGATCAGGTTCCAAAGTGCATCAGGAAATACTACAACAAAATACAGGTGTCTTGGATGATCACACACACACGTCCCTGACCACGCTCTGGACCACTGTCTTCACATCTACCCAGTGCAAATGACTCAACAAAGATGTCCTGCAGTGACAAACAGCCCAAACTCAGGGAGTGACTTCAGATCAGATAAGCCAGAGTGGTGCCAATGTGACAGTACCTCTGTCCTTTAAGTTTATAGGTGAGGTGGAGGGAGGGGGGTAACCAGAAAGTGAGCACCTACCATGTATCAGATACCTGGAGAGCCACTTTACCTTTATTATTTCATCTTTGAACCCATCTCCAAGGTAGGTATTATCAGGAGCACCTATTTATGTAGGGGGAAACTGATGATGCAAAGCAGACTGAGGGAAGGAAACTGCTTGCAGGCTGGAATTTTACACGGGAGAAGCAGGCTAGAAATTAGAAATAAAAGTCCTATGCAGCTGCTGGGAAGTCATCCCCACCGTCCACACCCAGGCCTAAGGTACGGATCCGTGAGGAGCTGTAGGAGCATGGGCTATCATCAAGATTAGATGCAGCTGAGTGTGGTGGTATACCGGTGATCCCAGCTATTCAGGAGGCTGAGTTAGGATCACAGGTTCAAGTCCAGCTTGGGAAACTTAGTAATACTCTTTCTCAAAAATAAAAAATAAGAAAAGATTAACAGTGATATATGTGTACCCATGTTCATAGCAGCAC